GATGCTGCTTGGCCTGCTGTGTTCATCCAGCTCTGCACCTTGTTGTCTCGGATTCTCCAGCATCTGCAGTTCCTACTATCTATAATTACAAGCCAGTTGGTTTGACATTAATAGTAAGGAAATTATTGGAAAAAATTCTGAAAGACAGGATTGATCAATACTAGAAAAGTAAATCTAATTCAATTCAGTTCAATTCAATTAAACATATAAGGTATAATTAGTAAATTTGCAGATGACACGAATATTGGCAGCACCGTTGATAGTGAAGGAGATAGTGGGATTGATCAGGTATAGTCAGATTGGATTTGTTAGAGGGAGTCTGTCTGACTAATGTAGTTGAGGTTTTGAAAAGGGTGACAAAGTATACTGATAAGGATAGTGCAGTCGATGTGGATGACATGGACTTCAATAAGGTCTTTGAAAAGTTCAAACATGGAAGGCTGGTTCAGAAGTTAACAGTCCATTGGATTCAAGGCAAGTTAATAAACTGGATCCAAAATTGGCTTACAACTTGGAGGCAAAGATGGTGGAGTGTTGTTTTTTGTAACTAGAAGCTTGTGACCACTGCTTTACCATAGGATTTGTTGCTGGGACGCTTGCTCTTTGTTATTTACATTAATAACTTAGATGTAAAGCCACGTGGTGGCCCCCTGCACTGGTCTGCTGCAGAGAAACTTTGGACAGAGACAATGAGGTTAGTCTTTTTAACTTTGCTTCTTGTTTTTTCTGATCTATTAGTGTATAGCTGCAATGTAACTTCTTTTCTTCATTTTTCTATTCTGTAACTAAGGTTGGTACCTAGATACCTTTGTATCTTAGATGGCACTGTAAGTGGCGATTTATAAACTTTTCACTGTACTCATTTGAGTACGTGAAAGTAAATCTAATTCAATTCAATTCAATTAAACATATCAGGTATAATTAGTAAGTTTGCAGATGACACTAATATTGGCAGCACCATTGATAGTGAAGGAGACAGTCTCAGGCTACAGTCTGATATTGATCAGCTGGTAAATTGGGCAGAGTAATGGCAGTTGGAGTTTGATCCTCATAACTGCAAGGTGATGCATTTTGGGAGGTCCAATAAGAGAAGGACATACACAATGAATGGGAGTCCTGAGGAACAAAGGGACTTTGGCGTAAAAATGCATAGATCCCTGAAGGTGTCAGCACAAGTGGACAGGGTGGTGAAGAAGGCATATGGGATGCTCATCTTCATTAGCCAGGGTACTGAATATAGGTGCAGGAAGTCTTGTTACAACTTTATGAAACATTGGTTAGGCCTCAGACAGAATACTGTGTACAGTTCTGGTCACCACACTATCAAAAGGACATAATTGCACTCAGAGGGTGCAGGGGAGATTCACCAGATCATGCCTGGGATGAAAGGTCGGTTATGAAGAGAGACTTGGATAGGCTAGGTTTGTTTTCCTTGGAGCAGAGGCGGTTGAGGGGGCATCTGATTGAGGTATACAAAATTATGAGAGGTTAGACGGAATAGATTGTGAGAATCTGTTCCCCATGGCAGATGTGTCTAAGACCAGAAGACATAAGTTTAAGGTGAGGGCAAGTGGTTTAGAGATAGAACAAAGATTTTTTTCACCCCAGTGGTAGATATATGAAACGTGCTGCCTGAGAGGAGGGTGGAGGCAGATACTCTTGCAACATTTATAAAGCATTTGGATGAGTACTTAAAATGCTGGGGGCTGTGGACCAAGTGCCAATAAATGGGATTAGTGTAATTTGGTGTTTGCTGCTCAGCATAGGCATGGTGGGACACAGGTCTGTTTCTATACTTTTGCCTCTATGACCTCCCCTCTGGCCAGAGAGGAATTAAAAATTTGGGTCAGGGACTCTTATTTCCCCCCTCACCTTCCGCAGCAGTCTGGGATACAACTCATTTAGCCATCCAACACCTCCTCATCACCATGTCAAACTGCTTAAGAACCTTACAGTTCCTGTGCCTGAATTCCACATCGTCCTTTGCCAAAATGAAGACAGATGAGAAGTACGTATTTGATTCCCTATCAATGTCCTCCGACTCCATAAATTGCCCCCTTGGTTTGTAAAGTCTTACTCCTTCTCTGGTTATTCTCATCCTCTTGTTTAACTTTCAGAATATTTTGGAATTCTCTCTAATCCTATTCATATTTTTTCAAGCCCCACTTTGCTCTCCAACACGC